TTTTTAGGAGCAGCCGCAGCAGCCGCTTGCTGCAGCAGCAGGGCTGCTGCTGCAGGGCGGCGCAGCAGCAGCAGGGGCCGCAGCAGCAGCCCCAAATGCTGAATCCCAGCTGCCTCCTGAGGAGCTTCTCTTCTCCCCCAGCTCGCCGCTGCGCTGCGTCAAAGTCCATTTCCCCTTTGAAGAATTCCGCAGGGCGGGTGAGTGCCTCACCAGCGGCCACAACTCCGGGGGGCCCCAGGCTGCCTGCATTCTGCTGCTGCAGCACCAAAGCGCAAGCTGGCATATAGAAGCTCCGGGGCCCCCAGGCTCCCTGCATTCTGCTGCTGCTGCAGCAGAGCTAAAATTGGCCTTCAGGAGCTCCGGGGGGCCCCAGGCTGCCTGCATTCTGCTGCTGCAGCAGCAGAGTGAAAGCTGGCATGTAGAGGTCCGGGGGTCCCCAGGCTGCCTGCACTCTGATGCTGCTGCAGCAGAGTGAATGCAGGGTTTCAAGAGCTCTCGAGGCTTCCCCAGGCTGCCTGCACTCTGCTGCAGCTGCTGCAGCAGCTGCAGCTACTGCAAGTTCTGAGCAGCAGCAGTGGTGCAGCAGAGCGAAGGCAGCCTTTGCTGCTGCTGCTCTTTGTTGCTGCTGCTCGCAGGTGGGACAGGGCGGGGGGCCGTGGAGCCCCTCTCAGGGCTTGACAGTCTTCACCCGCAGAAGGGCCTTTTCATCTTCAAGGCCCTTTTGCTGCGGGGACTGGAGAGGCCAGTGGTCCGCCTGACTCATGAAGAAAGGCGCAGCTACCGGTACATAGCTCTCCACGCCATTGACACTGCGGTAGGTCGGGGCCCCCCTGGGGGCCCCCTGGGGGCCCCCAAAGAGTGCAGTGTTGCGAGGCTTCCCGCTGCAGCTGCAGCTCTTTCCCTGAAGCTGCATTAATTAGCCCACTGTTGGACGGCAGCAAGCAGCAAAAAGGGCCGAGGTGGGGGTGCTGCCGCTGCTGTGCTGCTGCAGAACACCCCATGGACGGGCCCCAGCAAGACTGGCCCAGAAGGGGCCTCCCGGGGCCCCCTCAGCGAAGAATACCTGCAGCAGCTGGCAATGGCCGGAGTCCGGCTAGTGCCGCCGTACCCAGACCCGGAGAGGGGCCCCCTGGGCAATTGCTGGCTGCTGCGGGGGCTGCGGATCCGCCAGGTGGGCCCCTGGCAGCAAATTGGGCTTTTTGCACAAGAAGAGCAGCAGCAGCAGCAGCAGCAGCAGCAGCAGCCCGGATTTTCTCAAGGGTACCCTCAAAGGGCTTTGCTGCGCTGCTGCAGGGCTGCAGGTGGCTCACCAGGGCTGACCCAGGTGCTGCTGCAGGCCGCAGCGCAGCACCCCAGGAACAGCAAACAGCTTATGTGCCGCAGTGCGCCCGCCTCTGCCCCTGGACTGAGCCAGTTTTCCTGGTGGGGGCCACTGGTCCAGCAGCACAGCAGCAGCAGCAGAGGCCGGGGCAGTAGCAGCAGCACTAGGAAAAGGCTCAGCAGCTAGAAAGACACGCAAACCCAGGGGAAGACCCGCACTTGACAGGGTCTTGGGGGCCCCCGAGACCCCTCCAGGGGCCCCCGGGGGCCCCTCTGCTGTCCCCATAAACTAGTTTTCTGGGGTGCTGCTGCGAATAGTGACTCAGCCAAAGGCGGTGATAGCAAAGGCCGCCCTGCTTGGCGTCTAGGAGCCAGGCAGCTGAGTGCGCAGGCGCGGTAAGGCGCTGCTGCTCAGTTGCTGCTGCAGTCTGATTTGCTGCTAGTGCTGCTGCTGCGCTTGCTTCTCAGCAACTGACGTGGCTAGCCCCAGCCTTCTTCCAACTAGAGGTGGCCGCGGGCCACTTCGAACTGAAGGCGCGGCTGCTGCAACAAACGGAGCTGAGAAGCCCCCAGGGGCCCCTGCGGCTAGGCGCGTAATTGCCCATTTAGGGGCCCCCTGCAGGGGCCCCTGCCCCCCAGGCCTCACTTTAGTTGTGTCCCCTCAGGCAGCTTTGCAAAGCTGCGGCTGTGTCCCTGTGCCGCAGCAGTCTCTTGAGTCTAGCTGTTCCTGTCCGTGCAGCCAGGGCAGCCTTGGCTGCGCCCTGCGTCTGCGCTGCTGCTGTTGCTGCTGCTGGTGCTGCTGCTGCATCAGCAGCGCCTGCGCAGCAGCCACACCAGAAGCAGCAGCAGCAGCGCCTGCGCTGCTGCAGCAACAGCAGCAGCAGCAGTAGCA